ACCGCAAAAAGCTTTATTCTCCTCGGAAAACCCGCGAGGATTCAAAGGAAACAATGTGTATTAATAATATATCGCTAAATGTATCCATCTTCAAAGATGAAGCAAGTGACTCCTGAAAGCAGTAATGAGAGCGCTGTGGGCAAAGTGAACAAACATTCCCAAGATCATTATTCCCAAATTAGACTCCGCCCGGGGAAACGGCACCGCTGAGCAAATAGCGCCGCTCGACAATGTTCATTCAGGGAAAATTCTCTGCGTCCCGATGCTTTGGAACGCAGCGGAATGTGGCCTCTCGCAACTGCCACCACCCGTCCCAGCAGAAGGGTGTTGCTGCCCCCCCCCACCCTCCTCGTTTCTACGGAATGCCACACCCCCAAAATCCATTCTAAACCAGCATTTCCATCCTCTATAGCAAACATCGGAAATCCCTCAGAGGAACATCCAATATTTACCGCTTGATCATGAATTAAATGAATTTGCCAAAAAAATGTCAGTGGTGCTTTTTTGTCCCACGAAAATGTCTCCGTTGGCCGCCGGGTGGGGGCAGCGAGAGTTCGGCACACACCTGTCTCCGCTTCCCCCCCGCGACGAGCGGAGTGCTAGCCTGTTCTATTTCCTAAAAGCCGACCCCCCCGCCACTCGCCCCCCGAGGGCCAAAGGGCAAAGTGGAAGTAGCATCCACCCTCCACCCTCCACCCTCCACCCTCCAGTCTCGTACACGTCAACGATCTGTGAGTAAAACCGCTCGACAGGGAGAGGGAAAAAAGACAGGGGGGGTTTCAGGAGTAGGAGGAGATGGAAGAGTTGGCTGAAACAGTCTCAGGAGCTGCCCCCCAGCAGCAGAGGGAGAAAAGCATGATGAATAATTAACTTTGAGAAATGTCACAGGCGGCAGAGAGAAGTGTAATCTTTCCTCTGTTGGGTTTAGAGATGTGTTTTTTTTGTTTTTTTATTCTTTTATTCCTTCGTGCCCCGTAGCGCTGCGCCACGCTTAGACTGCGACCCGACCCCCCCCGCCTGCGATACATCGCATACTACATACTTTTCAAATAAAAGCAAATAAATGATTAATATGTGGGCCTTTTAGCGGAATCACAGACATCTCACAGAGGTCTTCTCCATATTTAATCGAGTCATTGATGTCAGTCTCATTAACTGTAAAATCACGTTTAAGGAGCAGGCGTCTCTGGTGCTGACTTCTTAATCAATGTAAGGCTTGAGCGTTGTTTCTTTTTAGTTCTGGAGAACACAGCACGTCCTCCTCAGAATGAATAAAAGATTTTTTTTTTTTAAATGACAAATTGCCGTCTTCATGTTCCAAACAAGCTAAATTGGTCCCATGAACCCCAGAGCTACGAAAATGAGTTATGGATTACCGTGGCCTAGTTCCCTGAGATAATTGAGGATATATATCATTTTTAGTGCAATTGTAAGATTGTCCCGCTTTTTATGTGTAATAGAATAGTATTATTTGTATTCTCTTCATCAGAACGGATACGATGAAGTTAACGCTCGGCTTTCACTGGGCACAATGGAAGGTGCCGCACTACAGCCTCCGCTCTGTTGTGGATGATTTAATGCCAAAGAACGCTCGGAGATCGTTGTCCCATCGACGTGTTTGTTAATCAGTCACACGCTGAGTGAGATTCCTTATCAGTAAACACATTGATTGTTCAGAATGAGATGAGCCGATTTCGCCGGTGTTATTAATCTTCTTTTTAGATGACGTTGAGTAAGTGCTCCTGTACGGCGCCGCGCCGTGTAATATGGAGATTTATCCAGAAAGAAGTTCACACAAAGATTGCGCTCCGTTAATTAATTTTCATTTAAAGGGCTGCAGAGCTTCGGCAACAATAAAACATCCCGTTGTGGTGACTTTTTTCATCTGGCACCATCACAGAAGTTAACACGGCAAGTGATGTCTTTGTGTTAGCGTGCTAAACTTAGCAGACTATCGGCGTTGTATGTGCAGGAAACAGAGACACACATCAGCAAAATGCAACACTTTTTCACGTTCATTCAGACACACAAAAAAAAGTTTATCTGTGTCCTGTTTTTCTAAGAAAAAGCATCAATCCACACATGCAGCCAAGGGAAAGTTGTTCTTGGTTGTTGAAGTACTTATAAAATACTGATATTAATAGAAATGTATCATTATTAATAATAATAATAATAATGCTAATTAAGTGTGAAATCAAAACAAACAGCAATTAAAAGTAGTCTGCCTTAATATGACCAAGATATGAAACCAGAAGAAATAAAGAAGCCCCCCCCCCCTTAATTGACATTCGCTTTTGGACTCTGCTGAGCTTCCCATAAACGGCAAATCAGTGAGAAGAGGGAAGAGTCTCTCCCCAGCGGAGCAATCAGCAAGTTAATTCTGAAGCAAAACACCTCGAAATTCTCCCTTGTATCAGAACCCACTTTAAATAAACTCACAGTAGCATTTAATTAACAGGATGGTGCACCTGAGCGTTTAGATTTTAACCAAATAGGTTTCCGTTGTTATTTAACTTGTCTTCCGCTTTAATTATTCTGAATTAGAGTCTCGCTGAGATTCTCTGGGGCTTTAATTAGCGACTGGATAAAAGTTATGTAAATACAGTTGGAAGCTGCGGACTCTTTAAATAGAGTCGTGTTGCATCTGGTATTTTATTTTTATTTATTTTTCCGAAAGAAAAAACATCCAGAGTCTTTCTTTTTGAAGTTTATCAAATCACTGCAGGGTACTTTTCCCTTTTCGGTATCTGCGGAATGAGACTTTTCCTCAAAGGGCTACATGACAGAAATAAAGAATTCTGAAAATGAAGCCATTTTTGTTTCCCACGGTGCGCGAGGGAACGCGTTGCATTGTGTGCCTCTGCTGTGCGTGTCAGCACCTCACATGTTCAGACCGTCGCGCGTGAAGCCGCCTGCCCATCAACGTACAAATGACTGATCCTCCGGCTCTTCTGATCCACTTTAAAGATGGAATGAGCGGGATCAGCCTCCTGTTGGGCCACATTAAACCCAAGCCGAGTGCCTGGGCCCCGACTCAAAGCCCCTGTCGCTGAATAATAATGCTTTCTTTCAGCCGGGTTTGTCACCAAATTAGCCCCCCACTTCAGACGAGGCGCTCTCAGAGTGCGATTCTCCACCACCACGGAATTCAAATTAGACAGTTTGAGGGTTGTAAGCTTCTAGGAGTTGTTATTTTTTTTGAAGGTGTTGATTGCAGTCGGAAAATGACGGCGTTCAGGCTCTTAAAATCACAGTTTATTCCTGTGAAATTACAGATCTGCCTGCAGCTTCCTCTCCGCGCTCCAAACCCGACCCGCGGTCTTCACCGCAAAGCCTTTGAAGCCCCTCCATCAGGGCAGCGCTTCAAATCTTATTTCTTCTCACCCCCAAATAAACACTGCAACCGCACTGAGTGCATTTCCAAGCACGGAAGGAGGCTTCCTACCCGAGTCTTGAGGCTGAGAACGCGTTTGTTTGTCTTCCTGCCTCGGATTGCGTGACGCCCAGGTTGAGTTCCTCGCGCTCCCCTCCCCGCCTGACACACCATCCCTCTTGTGCCTTTGATCAACAGGGATGAGTGAAACTCGCCCTGGGACGCACCATCAGTGCGACGCAGCGGGGGGAAGGTAGAGCAGCGGGGGACGGAGGGCGCGGGGGGGGGGGGGGGGGGGCGTTGCAAGGAAGAAGGGATGGAAACCATTTTTCCCTTCCGGCGCTTTCTGTCTAACACATTCCATCCAAAGGATTGAGAAGCAATTAAAAGACCTGTTGGGGGCATCCGATGAAGTGGAGGCAGAGCTTTATCGGGAGTAGCGGAGACAGGTGTATGTGAACTCGATGTGTTTCTTTGGTTTAATCCAAAGAGCTGAAGCCAAGCAGGGACCCACAATCGAGGACAAAGAGGGGGGTTCTTTCACTGAGCTACGACCTGCTGCAATCAAATGTTAATGAGGAATATTTATACGTTTTTTTTCTGTGAAGCAAATCTGTGTCTCCTTAAAAAACTAGGGGACTCTTTAGCGAAGTCCTGTACTAATGATGACGTGCGACTCCTCGTCTTTGCTCATGTCTCTTCTCGCAGTTTAGCACGTTAGCGCATTAAGCCGCTACGTCATCGCTTTCAAAATATCCCCAGAACTGAACTGAAATCACTGCACGATTAGTTTGCGTCTCATCGGGGTGTTTTTGGAAAGAAGCTTTAGTCCGATAAAAAAAAAAAAAGGCATAACTTATGGGACCAAAGACGACACTGAGCATGTTTCATTACCCAGAGGCCACAGATGTTGTTGACCCTGCTGTTAAATCTCCGTCTTCGATATTACAACTTTTATATGGAGCCAAGTGTCCTTCACAGTGTTTGGGGACTTGCTTTGATGTTGTGGGACTGAGCGGGGGATGTTGTTCTTCACATTAGAATTACAAGTAGCTATTTATTTGAATTGGGGGAGAAGCACTTCACCTGCCTGGATGAGTCTGTGGTGCGCTGCTGGCCCGTGCTACAATTATCTCCCTGGTTGAAGAAATACAGTTTTTTCTCTTTTTGAATTTAGTGCAAGAGATACTTTAGAACTTCAACCAAAGGATAAATAACACACTAAGGAAGATAAAAACCACCATTTCCTAGAGAGTGCAGAGCAATTACAGACAAATCAGCAATATTTTGCAGTCGGGCCCAGCAGCACTGAGGCCGAGAGAATTAGAAAGAAGATATTTATTTTTCTCACTGTGTGAGAATGCTGCGTTGTACTTTTGCAAGATGGAGTAGCCAGCACGACTTCGCTTAAAAGTGCACACTTGTTTTGAAGCATGAGACACTTTGAAAAAATAAACTCTAATCTTGTTTTGGAAAGAAAGCAAATGTAGCAGGAGACACTAAATGGGCCCAAAAAAACCCCAACATATCACATCTTTTCAAAACGTACGGCGTTTAGAGCCGGCTGAGACAGCTTTAAACTGTTGTCCGAGGACAAACGGACTGGTGTGATCTTCTCCCCCTGCAGGGCTGAAGCAGATCCATGCCCTCTCCATCCAGGGCAACTACGAGCTGCGCATCGACTTGGAGGACTTTGAAAACAGCACCGCTTATGCCCAGTATGGAACCTTCGGAGTGGGCCTCTTCTCGGTGGACCCAGACGATGACGGATATCCTTTGACCGTGGGCGACTACTCCGGCAACGCAGGTGTGTAAGCTCACCGGCTTCCATTTGCCACCTGCGTCCTGATTGTGACTCTGTTTGTTTTGAGGCACATCAGGGGCCGAAACCTCCAGCCAATAGCGGAATAATAATGTTATTTTCACAGTGAAAGTAGAACAATGCAGACAGTCGAACAGGGACGGCCGGTGCCGGCGTCCGCGCTCCCCAACCATCGAATCCAAGCCAGCTACCTGTCGCCTTGATGAAATTACTCCCAATTAATTGCATTGCTTGACCTGCAGCGTAAACAAAAACCAGCCGTGGAAACGGGGAAGCAATTTAAAGAACCTTTGGGGAGCATTGCTCCAAAAACAAAGAGAGAGAATGGGGACAGGTATGAGAGATGGAGCCAGGAGAAAAGATGTGGAGGGGAGGGAAAGAAGGAGCTACAGAGGAAGGCAGGTGTGGGCAAAAAGTGAAGGGTGAACAGGAGAAAGGTAAATAAAAACGAGGAGATTTCAAAAACGTGTTGTGTGTGTGTGTGTGTGTGTGGCAGATATTTCACCAAACATCCTCTGGTTCGCTGTTCTCAGCGTGACTTGACCTTGAATCCATCTGCCTGGTGGACATTCGAATCCAGTCAAATTACGGGTACTCAGGCTGTCTCAGGACGCTCGCGCTCCCTCCTTGGCCTCCCTCCAGGCAGCGCTGTTATTCCTAGTAGTGCTTTGCCGTCCGGCCAGCTGACAGGTGCTCATTCGGGGCTGGCAGCAGGCCGGATCTTAATGGACATCGGGGGCCACCAAGGTGACATCTAGCTTATTGCAAATGAGCCTCTAAGTGCGTCTTTCATCTTCTTCTTTTTTTTTTTCCGTTGTTTTTTTCCCTGCCTCCTCTTCTCTACACCCCCTGGACATCATCCCATTGTGGCTGCCATTGAGCTCCCCCCCCCCCCTGCCACTGTCTCCTCTTTCCTAATGCCGAGCAGCACGCGGCATTGATATCAGCCACTGCTCTCAGAATACTTTTCGCGGCTGACTTGTTACCATGGCGATGCCGAATGGAGAGCGGCGTGCAGGGCAGCGTGAGGGGGGCAAGAAGCCGGGGCGGCCACATCCTGGGCAATTAAGGCTTGTTTGAAGCCCTGACGAGCTGTTAGCCCTCACCTGATGGCTGGTGGGCCGTCTTTCATCGGGCTCTCGGCTTTGTCCTCATATCCACTTCTGGTCACAGTGTGAAGCCGGCGACGGGATAGAGAGGGAGGGGACGTGGAGCGCAGCGAGCTCAATGAACATTAGGAGCTGTGTGAACATCCATTTGCTAAAAACTTCAGATCTACCTCGGCGTCTGCAAGGGGGCGTCGCTTTCATTTTACTTGTAAGCCTCTTAGAGCGATGGCTTGTAAAGCTGTTATCGATTCAGAGAATATGCCTGTGAGGAATATTTGTACAGCGGGTAGATATTTTCAGCCGGGCAGTTTGATTGCGTGGATCAGACTCACCGCGCAGACGGCGATTGTGGTCACCGAGGCCATTCGACCGCGTTAGTCTCGCATCGTGACCCCATTCGCGGGTCACGGGTGGCAGGAAGGAAGGCCTTCTCGCCGTTATCGACGCTTTTCAAACATGTTGCAAAAACACTTAGAACATAGAAATAATCGTATGAATAAATGGGGTGAAGTCCACTGACTGTCGTTTCTCCTCTCTATCAACATTTCTGTCCATTAACTGATAGACATCATGATGAAATCCTCGGGTATGCCTCATTAAAAAGTGGAAGATAAAAAGGTCACCGTGGAACCTTTGATAAATTGGTTTCAAAGCCGTCTGACCTCCTGCTTTCGATAATGAGAAGCAATACTCTTGAGAGCTGTGGAGCTTGATTTTTGTATTCTATCATCTCTGTTTATAGAAATAAATGAATTTTAAATGCCTTACACTATTTTGAGGTTGATGCTGGTGTCTTGTTACCGATCCAAGAATATGAGACACATTTATTTTTTAAATCATTTTTTTATTCCTTCAAAATGTCCCTCGTGTACGTAGTGACGCATTCAAGTTAACGTTGCACATCTTTTGCTGCACCAGGTGACTCTCTGCTGAAGCACAACGGGATGAAGTTCACCACCAAAGACCGGGACAACGACCACTCGGAGAACAACTGCGCCTCCTTCTACCACGGGGCCTGGTGGTACCGCAACTGCCACACCTCCAACCTCAACGGGCAGTACCTGCGCGGCCAGCACACCTCCTACGCCGACGGCATCGAGTGGTCCTCCTGGACCGGCTGGCAGTACTCCCTCAAGTTCTCCGAGATGAAAATACGGCCCACCCGCGACCCCGAGAACAAATGAGGAAGAACAAAAGGAGAAAGGATATAAAATGTTTTTTCAGACATTACACACCACTTCTTTCTGACAGCTAGGCGGATTTACATGTCTTGATATTGTTTGTTCACTAAAACGTACCTTTTAGTTTCCTCTGCTGTTTGCCACCTGATGTCTCGCTCCCGTCTTTTTTGCTCCTCCGCCTCCTCCTCCTCCTCCATCACTCAGCTACTACGTTGTCATGCCGGCTGCCATTATCCTTAAATGACATGCATCTGCATCATGCATATGTTTTTTTATCGCTCGGTTCACAGAAAAAGCAGCATACCAGAGCTCCGAAGCCCACGTTCGGCGCGCCGCTGCGGTCCAAGCGTCTCTCCGCGGGAACACGCCGCCAGTAGTTCGCTCCCGACATTATATCTTCTGAACTCCCATCTGTGCTGCCGTGGCACTTCAACTGTGGTCCGGTCTCACTGCCCGTTGCCGCATAACCATGAAAGCGGAGCGCGTCGCTCCAAACATGGTTGAAAACACTCCCGACAAAAGGTAGAAAAGGAGACGCAGGTCCAGGACCAGCGAGAAGGGGCACGGCTCGCTCGTCTGACGTGTGACATTTACATCCTTGATCCGTGCCGACGGGACCCGGCACCAGCGCAGACAATTAGTGGTAGACACAGACTGCGAGCACGAGGGAATCATCTGACAAGTGTTGAATTGGTTTAAAAGTGAGAATCAAAGAGGAGTGAGGAAGAGGAAGAAGACGAGGTGCAAGAAATGAGAAAAAGGGAGAGAGAGAGAGAGAGAGAGAGAGAGAGAGAGAGACAGCGGAGGATCTCATTCATCGAACTTGGGCCATTAGCAAGTATATTGGGCACTTTGTTTAATCTTCCTGCCAGCTGAGTACTGGCCATCGGATGCAGCATTCACAGATGGTAACCCAGCCATTGTGTGCGTGCGCTGTGTTGGTTTGTTGCGATTGTGTGCAAGCGTGTCTTCGACGAGAGGGAGGCAGACAGAGTTCTCCAACATTATCATTTTCCCGTCATGAGTTCAGCAGAGCGTCTCGGGCCGACTACGACGTTGAGTGAAGACGGACCGAGCGCGATGCGTCGCTGGTGTCGCTTCACGTTCAATTTAGCTTCTGGAGACACCGTGACAACGGCAGAGCGTGTAACGTACATACGTGTAATAGGAGGGACGAGACATTGGGACCAATGGGATTACAGAATGAAAGAGGAATCCAGGTTTGTGGCATAGTTCCCATTATTTTAGACAACCCTCCATTCTCACCTTTTTGGTTTGTCCATTTTTCCTCCGTGTAGGGGAGGAGGGAGGGGGGGGTCATGTGGGTTTCATGTGTGTGACACTGTTTGTCTCGACATGCAAAAGGCGGAGGAAGTTGCTGTAAAATAAGATTTGACGCTCTCCAACCTGTATTTTTCTTCTGAGTAGGAATTCTACAATGTGTTTTGGCAAAAACAAAAATTGCCTGGAGCAAAAAAAAAAAAAAAAAGAATAACAGAAAAAGAAAAAAAGTGTTTTGTGGAAAAAGCACAAAGGAAAACTGTGGACAGAAAATAGTGCAATCCTGATTTTCCGTCTCCCTTAATTTTGTTTTTCGTTTTTGAAGTTGGAGAATCAACCTTGTTTTCATTGAGTTTATTTTGATGTACCAAAAGCTTTAAAAAATATCTGTAGAATTTATTGTACACTGTGTATGACTTTTGGAGCATGTGAAGCTGTTTTCTTACTATGCTAAAACACAAAGAATACTCAAGCACATGGACTTCACAAAAATCCCTCGGTCGGAAAAAAAAACAAAAAATGAAGTGAAGTATTTACAGAACCTTTTTCCCTCCCTTCCTCTACCTGAACAACAGAAGGACGGATACGAGTGAAGAGGAGGAACGCGATTGTCCCTGAAGCACATGCTCGTTCAAACTTGCAGCACAAATACAAATATTTAATGGAGGCACAACATCAGAGAGATTTTAAAACCCCTTCGGCACCTTTTGCCGCCTTGCTGGACACGATGGATCTTTCGAACTTTATGTTGGCTTTGGAAGGTCCCGCCGCACTGCGAGACAATCCCTCACGCCCGCCGAAAGGGCGGGGCCCCCGGGGGCCCCCAGCCGACAGGGGGGGGGGTTTACCGCGCGGCACCGCGCGGCACCGAGCAGCGCTGCACAGAATACCCGTGGCGATGGAGCGGCTGGGAGTTATTCTGTCGTCACCTGGTGCGAGGCAGGATCTCCCGGTGCGTGTGCGTGTGCACACGCCACTGCCGCCGCTCTGAACACGTGTTACGAATACTTGCTGGATTTGGAACGGCACGGAGTACTGAGGGGTGATAATGTCAGAGGATAAAGCACATTTTAAAGTCGCAAATGTGTGAGGTCACTGGAGAATAACATGTGCGTGAGTGTATCCCAAGGTGTGTGTCTGTGTGTGGTAGACAGAGCCTGTGTGTGTGTGTGAGCGTGTGTGTGTGTGGGAAAGGGGGAAGCTAATGTGTGCGTCTCTGTGTTATATGCACATGCTTCGGTTTGTACATGCCCGTGTGCATGAGCAAGACGACAGAGCGGGAGGCCGACTGCGTCTCTCTGTGGAGTTTTGGAGTAACGTGATGCTTATGTAACCCCCCCCCCCCCCGCTACTTGTGTTGATACACGAGAGATTTACATAATTATATTGAACTATTACTTATTGTGATTGTGAACCCATAAGCGTGGACACCACCCTCTGGTCCTGTGCTGAACTGCGCACGTACCCAGGAAAACCTCTGAGAACCCGCCCCCAAAACCTCCGAAAGCCCGCCCCCAAAACCCCTGAGAACCCGCCCCCAGCCACCTCGACGCGACGTTGTGCTCACTGTATGTTGCTGATCCCCTTGTTATTTTACACGTAATGTATTATTTGCCATGGCCCCCCGTCTGTGTTTTTGTTGGGCGGATGCCTTTTAGGTCATTCTTCTCTCGCTAAATCTCCAAACGGAAGAGAAGATAAGAGAAGGAAGACAGAGGCTCTAATCATTCCCGGTTATCCCGCTCATTGCATCAGCGGCGGGATCGATCCCCCAGGTCCGCAAACCTTCTATTTCTCTTACTCTGTACCTCCTTAATTGCCTTAGCCTCTGCTGCCAATTCCTCCTCAGTCCATAGCTCCAAAATACTTGCCTCCTGCCCTCCTCCGCCTCGTTTCTGCTCCACCACTCCTCTCCCCAGCCCCCAGTCCTCCCTTCCTTTCTGTACCCGCGCAGAACTAACTCTGTTTTTCTGTTCCTTTTCTTTTTGGTGAAGTACTTTAGATTGTTTTGCTGAATCTTGATACTGTGTTTTAATGTTCTTGTCAACATTTAATAAACATTCACATTTTATAAATGGGGAGCACCCTGACGTGTGTGTGGGGTTTTCTCAGCGTGGTTGGCTTTTGTGACTTATAGATTTGATTAGGTTAAATAAAAGCACGGCAACAGACGTTTCATTGGTGTTTAGGAATCAGACAGTAGAACAAAATGCTTTATAGGCACAAGTTAAGGTTTTACTTGTAAATATTTCTCTTATAACGGTTAGTTTTCAACCCATTGTAATACAGCTCACGTTTTTTTTGAGAGGTGGTATTCATGGAGACGTGAACTCGGCAGCGGCATTTCCCATAAGCGAATCTCTCACATATCTGTAAAATGTATTATATAAAAACAATCCCAATGAAAAAAGATTGAGAAGGCACTATCAACGCGGACACAGTGTAACTGCATAACTATAAATTGGCAATATTTTAATTAAAAATAATAATAATAATAGTGGCAAGAGCAAACATGTAATTCCTTATTATAAATCTTCTCTTAAATAACCTATTATCTTAACTTTAAAGGTGCTCTGGTCTTGCAACATGGGTGGAGTTTCTTTGGTCCTGCTTTTTTTTAGAAAGTTTATGTTTATGTGTAAAAATGAGCAAATCCAAGGGGAAGCAGGAGTAAAATATGTTCAAAATAACATTACAACAATGACATTTTTGGTTTGTGGTAAATCACTGATGTCCTCAGCATAAATCTCAGTGAAGACTAAAGACATTTCCAGATGAAGTTTAGTGGTATTTTACATTTATATGATGTTTTTCTTGTTATTGTTAATATAATCAATCTCATGCAAGTATTCTACCCTCCTTACTGCACGCAGTCACACGTACATCTTACACTAACGTCTCCCTGTCAGCTGGTTCTGAGCCATTTGAATGTGATTTCCATAAATGCCAGTATAATGTTTTCAAATATATATCTCTGCCCTACAATTTGAAGGATGATTTGACGATGAAGATTCAACTGACGGTGTCACTGTAGTGTGATGAGGTTAATCAAAGGGAAGGGATGTACTTCCTTGACTAACTATAAATTGATATAGTCCAGGCGGTGGTGGGGTTTGAATTACAGCCCGCCTGTATCCCCGGCGTGCCCGCTGGGAAAGCTGAGGGCAGCCTGCTGCAGAGACGGGAAGGCCAAACGGAACCTCGCTACCGTTGCTTTGTAACTGAACTGAAGTGTGTCGTCTGTGTGCACGTTGGCGCTTTGGTTTCATCGTGACCTGAAGTGACGATCCTGCAGTGATTGGCACGCGTGTTAAAACAGTAGGAGTGAGATACAGAACAGAGAACAGATCGCAGGCTTTGGTTGACACTCGACAGCGTTGTTCGTTGCTGCGGAACAGGCCAACGATGATGTGTGATTGGTTGGAGCTGACATATTTTATGTTCACTTGCACGAGTTATTAAAGCAGTTGCAGTAGTAGAATCCTTTTTTCTTTTTCATTTCTGGTTTTCAGTCATGTTTTCTTGCTGAACGGTTCTCTGATTTATTTATCTAGCTGACATTTAGCCATTTATATACATACTAGGGCCATAGAAAAAAGAAGAAGAAAATCACATTTATGGATTATGAAGTTGACAATAATTAGCGTCTTTATTTTTAGTAGGAATGGAATAGAATATTATTTTGATGGCTAAATATGACTATTTTAGCAATTATAATTAGAAATTTGATGACTTTTGCACTTCCCTTGCACTGTCTGCTGAACTAATGATGTTTTGTGGGGTGAAATTATATTTGTAATATTGTAGACAGAAATCTACACCAGATATTCTATCGTTCGTTGTTGAGGACCTAAAAGCGCTCTGCTTTTCTTGCAGTCTGGGCTAATGTGGAAGTTTCCTCGGCATTCTCAATTAATTGCTTCTTCTTTTTTTTTGTTCCTTTATGTAACTTTGTGGTGACATTAATTAAATTGGGCGATTAAATCACGCTCTCCTTTGTGCATGAAAAGAACCTCTTTCAACCTGCAGAGCGCGTCCTTCTAGTCGGGTGCAGCAGCAGCACGGCCACAGCCAAGTCGAGATAAGAACGAGATCTCCCGTCCCTTTAAAGTAAAGTCCTACTCTTTTATTTCCCCGTGCGTTGCACATATCTTGCATTACTGACTGCAAAAGTGAACTTTTGCAACTCTCTAATTATATTTGATTTAATGCAGCTGCCCACGCACGCTTCTTTCTTTTCGACTAAATGTTTGCAAACACTGTTTAATATGCAAGCTGCAATTGAGGAAAAAAAATATGTAGTCATAGCGCAGCAGAAGTGGAACACATTGAGTGCACAGATGGAGAGAGAAGAGGTGGATTATGCTGCAGGAGTGGTTTATGTGTTTTATCTATATTTTTCACTTTTTTGCAGTAGAGCCTCATTACCATTCTGTTATATTTCACACACCGTGAATCCAAGTGAACCTTAAAATTGGCAATTGTTTTTTTTTTAAACCTAACTTGTTGGTTCCAGCTGCTTAAATGTAAAAAACTATTTAAAAAAAAATTCTAAGCTTACTATATGGCATTTATGATCTAAAAATTGACTGATCCGTAGTTTCCATTCATTTCTAATGAAAATAATCCCATCCCTATGTAAAGTTATGTTCTACTTTTATACATTCTCACATTGTGCTGTTCCGTACCGGTAGCTGTAAACTATTGCAATAGTTCCGGCATATAATCTTTGTTTTATCTGTGACTTACACTGTGATGACACAAACACAACAAATGTTCTGCTTCCCTAATCTTTCATTTCTCTTTCATCTGCAAATTGATCCATGAACATCACCATTTCTACTTCTTGTCCTCCCGAGAATGTGTTTACCCCGTTCTCACTGCACAAGCCAAGCTTTTAAACCTGCTTCTTATCCACGTGTATCAGTGGAGGATTGCTCCAAGAACTACCCTCCATCAGACATCCCACCATGCACGCATTCCATATTTTGATATACAAAGCAAAGTGTCCTCTGGACGTAATCATTTCCTCGTAAGCGTCGCTGCATGACAATATTTTTTTGGAAGGATCCATCGTTAGGACGCGCGGGCGTCTGTGGCTCGACGATTATGGTGCAGCGATGCTGAGTGTCAACAAGAATCCAGTCCGCCGCGTTAACGCCATCTCGTTTACATACCAAGCAACCGCTTGTGGAATCATTTAGAAAACAAAAATTGGGATGTGTCACTTTTTGCCCAGACATATCAGAACATTCAGTTTGGCATTTTAAGTAATTTCATCATCAGAAAATAAACCGTCAACATGTTTTTCAATCTGATTTTCTCAAATTCCCACACGGACTTACAGAAGCAATAAATGAACTTTCTTAGTGGGTTTTGCAGCGGTGATCTTGCATCAGGCCAGAGTCCGTTCCGTCGAGCCTCTTGTCACGCGGAGCGTCTCGGTACGATGAAGGAGGGACTCGCTGCGACGATCAGCTCGTCCCCCTTTGGTGTCTTCGCGCGGGCGGCACTGTTGTTTCCGTGGTTGCCTCTGAAGAGCAGTGAGGTGTTTCGGGTTTCGGCGAGATTCTCATTTGCAGGATTCACCTTGAGTTTCACTTTCAAATAGCTCCGTTCTCCTCGACCTCAGCAAAGGTGTCGTATCAAACTAGCAGAGTCAGGGTGAAGCCACACACGTCTTATCACACGTGTGTGGCGTGTACCCCGGCAGCGGACAGTTCTTGATAGGTTGGGACCTTAATTGGAATAATAATCTTCTGAGGGAACGGGCATGGATGAGGCAATACTGGGGCAATACTTTTACACAGCTGCACCTGACCGTCATCCCGCTTCACGAATCAGACTGGTGAAAGCACCCTGGAGTTTTCCCTCTAACGGCCTATATTTCATTTCCTGAAAACTCTAAAGCAGCATTTTTAAAGAACTGGGGGTTTTGTGAGGAATATGAAACTTCAGAAACTGCAGTCAGGCCGTCCTGACCCTGCTGCTGAACATCCAACTATCTAAGCCTCTGGAACGGATTCAGGGTCAGCGCGTCCAGACACGTGCTGTTTGCTGCAGATACCCGACATCCCACCTCTACCACGGATCTTTATCAGGGGGAGGGGGGGCCCGGCAGCAAATGTGACGACCTCCATAGCCGAGCACTCGCAACCAGCCAGTGACATCTAGAGACGAACAGAGCTGAACCGAGTCATTCGTTTCAAATGAGTCTCGCCGAGAGGAAGAGCGACAGCGGAGAGCGGCGCGATGAGGCCGAGATCAGGGGAGAGTCGGGCAAAGTTCCCCTTGATGCGTGCGTGAAGTGATTCGGTCTTGTGGCAGCCAGGAAGAGAAGTGGACCGCCATAAAACTACCCATCAGTTGTTCAACTCGCCTCTGTCGCCTCTACTTAAAAAGAAAATAAAAGAAGCCTGAGATGCTGTCAGTAATGAAAGAGTCTGTGTCACATTCTGCTCAGCATGAGAGTGTCTTAATGAAAAAAAGTGACTCTCCCTGTCAAGGCCTTCTAAGGACTGACGGGAGGAAAACAGAAACAACCCTGGAGGGATTTCAGCATTTTGTTTTCATGTCTGTTTCAACTTACAAACTTCCAGTTTCAAACTTGACTGTTCAACCTGCTCTGCTGGTGTGATCATCACATTGCATATTTCTTATTATCTAATGAAGCATTATCTAATCATATCTTATTAAACCCTTTTGTAAATTAGACTTCAAAGAGAAATCTCTCATGTGAAGTGACTGATTGTCAACAAGAAATCCAGCGCAACATTCCGTCCTCCTTCTGTCATTCAGTGAATATTCCAGAACATTCTCAATGAAACCGTTATCCCTGTACTCGCTCGCATGCTTCCATCCATGCTCCAGTATCTATGCCCCCGTGTGCAAGAATGATGTTATCCAGTCTTTCACTGTGGAGGCGCCTGTAAATGTCTGATTTAAATTGCAATTCTCCTACACAATATTCTATTCATGTGTTAACAAGGTCCGTTCTGCTTTTATTTTGAAAAGCGCCGTTTTCTTCTTCTTATGTTTTTTGTGACGCTAACTTCCTGCTACTTACCATTTGCAACGTGGAAGTCACGCATCGTCGAAGCAAGGGTAAAACTTGTTAAAACGTGTTAAATACATTCGAATGATGTAAAGAAAGAGTTTAAATCGTAATTTATTTCATTGTTTTGTATTGTTCGTACCTGTCATTTCAAAAAGCTCCTAATTATGAGGGTGTGCCGAGATGCTAGCTGGTGGAGGAAATTCTTTTGATTAGCGCCCTTGGAGAGCGGATTGAGGTATGAAGGATGCATGTGATGTTTTATTTGTCATAGTGTTTTAAACATATTTCACTTTGGCTAGTATTTCAAATGATTTGTTTCGAGTAAACATTATTTTGTATAAGTTAATTGTTGAAACTACATAGAAGCATTGTGTATTTCTTCTGTTTCATTCTGTAGTTTTCACGGTGTTCAAGGTGTTCACGACGTCATGGTGCTTATGGTGCTCGTCGAGAGAAACAAAATAAATCAACACCCGTTTGAAACTCTCTGCGTCTTGATCAATCAAGCCGAGGGGCCGCTACAGCGCCTTATATGAGCGAATCCCGCAGGCCAGTCGCGTCTCAAGCTCCCACCCAGGAGGGCCGTTCCGCCTGTGGTCCGTTGTTCTGCGCTCGGCTAATTGATGGTCCTGGCAGGTAGAAGGTCCCAATGGAGCCCGGTGGGAAATGTGGATAAAATATTCTGCCTGTCAGGCGCAGGGAAAGGTAACCGGTACCTCCTTATTACTGGTGACACCTCACAAATATGAGTGGCTGCTAACCAGGCATGCAGGTGCAGAGGAAAGGCAGGTTTGGGCTGACAGACGGGTGATGACAAGAATGTTTCTCGTTATCTCTTCGGGATACGGGGGGAAGAGGTAGTCGCGTTCTGACGAACCGACATGTCTCTCTTTGTATCGCGCCTGCACGCAACAACGAGGAGCAAAAAAGCTACGTGATCGGTTGTGAGGAAGCCAAAACCGCGTGACTTCTGGAATCCGTCGGAGGCAGACGGGAGCAGGACTTTGTCCGGATAACACACACATCATCAAACAAATATACTAAACAAGCAAACCTAATTCAGTTAAGTTTTAACGTAAATTATTAAACTCAACATAACCTGCTCAACCACCCCCAACAGTCAATGTCCTCTACCTTTTGTAGCGGCGTCCATCGACCCGCTCTAGGTCGCACCATGCGTACAGGTGACTGTTACGGCAGACACTCTCCCCCCGTATACTTGGTCTGACCCGACGATGTCACTGCTGTCATCATCCCCTGTATAAACACCCTTCAGCCTCTAGCACACCTGCTGAGTTTGGATCCAAGACAGAGACTAACATGGGGACACACTGGGACACCCACTTTGTCCCAATCGTTCTTAGGGGACAACATTGTTTAAGAATACGTCGTCGAGAGATCAGCATCTATATCCTATCATCCCTCATAAAGGCCCAAATATCTGCGCACACATGAATTGATACTCATTGTTCTTGGTAAACACGTGTATGGCCTTTGAGGTCTTTTTGCAATTGGACCAAAATCAGCCGGAGGACAGAAGGACAGTTCTATGACTCACTGTCCAGGTGGAAGGATCATACGAGGACATGCGGTCGGAGATCTACGGGGGATTGGAAAAGTCCGGACTGCTCCAGATGAGGTGCAAATGTTCGGTTTGTTTGATTCGACACCGGTATGAAAGCAAGGACTTTCTCCCGATGGTGAATAAATCGTCTTAGACTTGCTTCAAACTTTCACTCTTTTAAATTGCCCTCGACAATATCCTTTTTTCCTCTGCGTTCCAGAGTTTGCGCTCCCCTGGTCCACAGCTTGATGGTGGGTCATAAACCACTTAGATTTGTAGAGAATGGGACAAAGACGGTGAACTTAACACCGGACTGCTTTACAAGCCTCACAAAAGCTTGCAGTCTGTGCGTCGGCACCTTGCAACCCTCGACTCGCTCTCGAGAGGTTAAATAACGAGGGTTTCTTCTCATCCTCTTGTGTGGAATATCTGTGCTGTGTGGCTCATTTTAACTGGAAAGTTATGTGTGTACATTTACACTGGATGCAGCATTATTTGCTCTCGGGGCCTCCAAGCCAATCATGTTTCCGTGTACGAGACCCATCGGTCTACTTTCTCCTCGCTGTGTCTCAGCCTTCTTCTCTTTCACACGTTCATAAACCCACTCCAACACCAACAAACACGGCAGCTTTCAGGCAGACAATGGGGTTTTTTTTTTTCTTCTTTTTCACGCCAAAAGTCACACTGCGGCGACAACAGTTTCTCTGTTTGAGGTGTTAGTTTCATGAGTTTTACAGTGCGTTTACCTCACTCGCATGACGAGACGTCGAGGGAGCTTTGCCGCTATGTTTTTCTGCACCAATTCAACGTGTAAAAATGTTTTCTCCGTTTGTGCTCCTGGTGTTTTTTGGGGGTGATTTCTTAACTAACGTCAACAGTTTGTCAATTGTGGTTCTGCTGAAACGAAACAGGGCTCTGTTTCGCTGACATTCACGCGACAAGTGACAATTTACCATTTGTATTCCTCTCGAGGTTTTTCTAATGTGCGATTTTGTCAACCCCTCCGAGCACCTAAATTAAGCCATTTGTTTGGTACGTAAAATGTCTCTTTGCTCAGCATGGCTGGTCTTATTTATGCTCACCACAATAATTAACTATCTCTGTTCTTTATAGAACAATGAATTGGAGATTTAGCACTGCAGATTAGCCTCATCCCTGATTGGTAATGAGTAGCATTTAACTGTGTTACAGCTCGTAGCAAACGGCGCCTTTAATACCATCTCCTTTGTCTCTGTTTTTGTGTTTGTCGAGTATCCATCGATCAACCTCAGTAACTCTCTGTATCTTTCTCTCTGTATTCAATTAAACGTGCTGTACCGGCTTCACCTTCGGGCCTTGCCTGGAGCCTGAAGGTGAAGCTTGAGATGTACTCGCCGATCTACGCTCCACCCCTCACCTTTATCCACAAGCTCTGGGTCCATGACCAGGAGGATGAATCTGCAGATACAAGTACGTGAAATTACTTTTCTTGGCGAGGATCAGATTCTCTAATACACTATCTGAGCTCCTAAACTACAGTTGCTTCACGTGGGGCAACTGTGGCAAGTTTATGGGGCGCGCTGAGGTGGTGGGGGCGTCTGATTAAGATCCTCCCCCCCCTGCGGAGGCATTCTGGGCACGTCTCACTGGGAGGGAGCCCAGAAGACTTAGGAGGGATTAAATATTCCAACTGGTCTGGGGATGCCTCCGGATCCCCTAGAAGGCGCTTGGAGGACATGGCTCGGGAGAAAGGGAAGCCTGAGCTGCCCTTATTAGTCCGCTGCCGCGAGAGCCGGGACTCTGGAAACGGGACGGACAGATGAAAGGAAGATTTTTTTTTTCTTTTCTTGGCTTGAATGTTAGAAATGAATATTGCAACAGTTCCCATTACAATGGAATAAAGCACCGGCTTCAGGATGTTATGGGCCCAATGAATGGGCCTTATCGGCGACTATCAGCCCCTCAGATGTGGCTTAGAAAAGGCCCGCTATTCTAACAAGTGTAGGTTTAGAAGGTCATTATCCCACAAATATAAGAAGTGGAAGAGGAGAGGAAGAAAGGGTGACATCATTTAAAGAAAGATCGAAAGATACAAGAAATTTGCATTCGGGGGCCGCTTTTTGTGTCCTTTTCATAACCAAAAGGTCAAGGTTTACATATTTTACCTCATCTTTCAAGTTTCAAGCACTGCCTTTCTCCAATTAGAAGTTAATTGTATTGTTATCTGAAATGATCTTGTTCAGCAAACCCGCCCTCTCGTGTCCCATCTGGTTCTAAAAATAAATAAATGCGATGGAAGATGTGTCGGATTAGACGCTTTAATACTTTATTCCATAAACCAAATGGTGACATCGCCGAGACCTATTATTTAACAACTAATATAAACGCCTTTTCTGAGACTGTAAAAATGTTAGAATTTTAATAATATCTAATTCACAAATTATGATCTGGATCTGAATTGCAAAAGGCTGTGGTTATAAATATCATAACTCTTTTACACAAAGATGAATTTTTTTAATGTAATCCGAATTTGCAGGATTGCTTGGTAATTGGTAAATAGTCCGACGGTAACATTTGACACAATAATACACCGCTCTATTAAAGTATAATAGTATATTCTCCACTGCAGGTGTAGTATGATACAAATTAAGTAATAAGTGACAACTTCAGCGCTCATTTTTAAAGACTCGTAACTCCCAGTTTGTTCAATTTTTTCAACATAATGCTCTTATACTTGTTTTCCAGAGTGTTTTACAAGTTTCTATTCAGATCTGCTAAAGTAGTGTTTGAAATGTCCTGCTTCCATAAAAAAAACAGGACAATTGGTACCAAAAACAACCAGCTTGCTGAAGCAGTTTGAGACCATTTGCTCCACTAACAGTAATGGTGGCAACACGTGCACGTCTGTGTGAATGCATGTGAGCTAAAGGAGACGGTACCATAAATCCGTCACAGACGTTTTAAATAGGAGGCCTAGAACATGCAGTGAAAGGCTGTGTGACCTCGCCATACTGTTAAGCCTTAACCCCACTTAGTCAGAAAAGGTATCACTCTAGTGGTTAGCCAGTAACCGCACATAATAAATTAAAAACAAACAACGTTTGGGATGTGGATTCGTTTAATCTTCCAACATTTCAAGTCTCTAAATCATGTATCGGCTATGTGACACTGGCTCTTTCTGCTTGGTGGCAGGTTGACTCGTCCCTCAAAGTCCTCGCGGCGCAGCATTTGCATCTGTCAGCAGATTCTCAGTGGTGAGACTCCTTCTTTTTCTGTTGTTTGAAATCTCTCATCATTAAAGCGCAGTGCGGGTGTTGTCTGCATCCCTATTTGTGGCATCCATCGCTGGAACACGGGGAACCCTGTGCTTGTGTTTCAAGTCAGGGATGTGCACCTGTGCAAGTGTCTCTCGCGTTATCGACAAAAGAAAATCCCTATTAAATGCTGTGATGATCTCCACGGCCTGACTCTCGAAGCTCCACGTGAGTCTGCAGATGTAAAACAACTAAATGTTGTAAATGCCAAGAAGAATGTTGGATCCTATTACCTGTTTGTGCATTTTACCCAATCACAAGCCAGTATATTCCACTCACTTTTACCACCAGTCCTCCTGATGGCCTCACTGTCCCTGCCTGAAATGACACAGTAATCACTCGGCCAGAGGCTCTTTGGAGGATTTCAATGGGAAATTGATGCCTCTTAATACATCGTGCATGTAACTGTGAGGCATTTAGTTTTGTTATTAGGCAAAGAGGGAAAATAACGTGGCTCCATCTTCCCACACTGACACCCAAAAGTGATGTCAGTTAGAATGTTAGTTTTCAATCGAGACATCTGACACACAAATGGATGCCGTGTGGGAGGGTGTTTTGGATTTCGTCTCATTTCTGAATTGACTTCACCACTTAACAGCAAACATCCTCACCTGTTTACCTTTTTAGGGACCTTAATGGACGCATCATTTGTACAACAAAACTAGATCCGCCAATTCAACCGCTTGGAAAGCCGGTGCAGTATGAGCAGTGATCTTCATTATTTCAGCTTTTTAAATCAATAACATAACCTTTTCTCACAAGGTTCAGAAGATGAAGGCCATAGTGATACCTGATCAGCCTTGAATTCATCTTTTGAAATTTGGCACTTTTGCCGGTCAGTGTTTTTCAGCCGAGTTGTATTTATTGATCAATGTTTCCCTTGAGTTTAAGCGTTGAATAACTCTACAGCCTCAGCCGAGAAAAAGTACACACTCGACAACACACTTTTAATAAATTACAAACCGACCCGAATTTAGAATTTAAACAGTTTTTAGAGGTTATTTCATAGTTAAATAATCCGGCCATCCACTGCATTTAGTGTCCTGTGACATGCATTGTTCTAACTAAAAACAGGCTAAACATCATGATCATGAAGAACGTGAGGTTGCATCACATTTTTTTCTTCCCGTCCATGCATGACCTCCAACGTCATCAAGCTCTGTCATCATTATCATCTCTTAATGTTGTTCAGAGGAGCGAGGAGGCCTCCAGAAGTGCTCGGGGATGATTATTACATGAGCATCCGACGTGGAGGCTCCTTTCGCTGAACGTGAGATCTGACGAGATGAGACTGATACAGCGCGCTGCCGCGGAGGCTTTGCATCACCTCAGCAGTGCAGGGTGGCACCGGCCAGATGACAGCACACAATCGGGCATGTTCAGGTGCGCAGGTGGAGGTCTTAATGTGGGGAATGCCGGCCAGAGTTGTGCCGTTGTGACGATGCCCTCCCCTGGATTACTGGAGAACGTACGGTAATGGATGCAGGTTGAAGGACAAACATTTAGCTGTTAAATTTTACCCTTGGGATGTTTCATTTTTAGATGATATCCGGTGTTTACAACTGAGTACTGCTACTTAGTGAGCGGTGCTTTTGCTCAATAATTCACTCCACGTTTTCCTATTTACAGATTTGAGTGACTATGGTGACTAATAATGTGTCTGAATAATTAAAAGTTAAAAGAGAAATCATCAAAGAGTCATTAAGTTGAAATAAAAGTCATCCTTAGACAAAGTAGGCAAAAATGATGTCAGTGTCTTGTATTGCAAAACATTTTGCTCAATTAATGTCGTGAATCTTGGATTGATAACATTCATCTCTCTTCCGTAACTTTTTTGGACTCAAAATGAACAAAATAAATATATCAGGAATAAGGAAACATTTATTGCCCAAATATATCAAACATACAAGGAATTTGTCTTGGCAGTTGGTGCGTGACAGTAGACAGTGTAACAATAGACAACAAGACAGCAGTGCACAAGTAATAAAATAAAGTAAAATGAAATGCTAATGCAATGGGTTAGTAGAATAAGGCTATGGGTTAGTATAAAACAAGAGAATAAAGTTAGTTAAACATTTAAAATATTTAAAAAAGTAAAAAAAAATATTAAGCATAAAGTGCACTAGCGAACAAGTAACAATGTGACGAATGACGACAAAGTGACAAGTGACGACAAAGTGAAAAATGACAGTTAAAGTGATGTGCGGTATGAAGGAGAGTGACCGGTGGAGTGTTATAGTCAGACAGTGGGAGACCGGCTCTGTTCATGAGCCCGACTGCCGACGGGAAGAAACTGTTTGTGTGGCGGGAGGTCTGCAAATATAAACACCACGAAAACAAATGCGGTATTTAACAGTTTTTTCGGATTCTGGTCGTTGACGTGATGTCTGAGTCTGTGGAATCGAAACAAAAGCATATATTTTTTTAAATGAAACAAGCATATTCTTTCATTTAATACACAACTAAGGAAAACTCACAGCCAATGTAACGCTGCAGTAAGTGGGACCAGGGTCAATTAAACATTTGCTGAATTTTGAAAGTTGTTAATGCCTTTGCTGATGATGCATCGCTGTTCTATTGCTGTTTCTTGCAGCATAACAAGCACAAGACTGATGGGACTTGACTGAAGCCAGAGCTTGGACAGCTCTCTGCTCTGCATGGAGATTAAGTCCAGTAGACCTAATCTCCATGCAGAGAATAATGGAGCTGATGCAGCTCCAAAAGAAGCCTCATCTTGTTCTGCTTGCAAGTGCGTGACTTCTGGAAAATTCCTCCTTTCTTTTTTATGTTGTGAAGGAGCATTTGCCTCTACTTCATTTTCCACCGAACCGTCTTTTGCTACTTCATACTCCCCTTTTGTCCCCTTCAGCTCCTCTGCATAACATGCCATGCAGAGTTCAGCGTTTAAAAGGGAAACGTGCAAATGAGAGATCAATAAAGTAATTTAATGCAATGAAGACTGGAAATGTTCTTCCCGGTCTCCTTCTGAATGAACTCAGGTATGCATTCAGCATATTGGCTTCAAGCTGATGCAATGTACATCCTTTTGAAAAGGACATGCAGAAGCAAATCTGACAAGTGGTGTTGGTCCCGGTAATGTGGTTGAGGCTGCTGCGAAATGTCCGTCACGGATCGGCTCACTCGTGATATGGAAAGAGAAAAAAGAAGAAAAAAAAGAGGGGTCTGTGCGGCTCGGTATGTGAATTGGAATCGGGGAGATTAAGGTCTGGAGCACATGCTGAGCCTTGTCACAAATACATAATGATGGATGAATGCTGCGCTGTGTGTTCATGCTTTGCTCATTTGTTTCCGGGCATCACCGATCACCTCTGAGCCCCTTCTCCCTCCGACCCTGCTGCTGAATGTCACCAGTTCATCCGTCTTATGTCTCCTCAGCCATATTTGCTGAATAACTGCGATTATGGTGCTGAAGGTTATCTGCATTAGTTAATATTTGTGCACGATCAGCGTGCTTTATCCTTCTGACTTCATTGCTTTTGCGCTTTCTCGAATGATTTAGATGCGGCGATGTTCGATTTTTTTTTTTTTACCTGCAGAGCTTCATTTGTCATACTAATCTGTATTAAAGTCACGAGGGACATCAGTGTTTGGGTAAGTCAAACTTCTGTTTCTTCTGTTTCTGTGTGTGTCTGAAGACGTATTGCACTTGATTAGTCATTCATGTCTATGCAGATAGAGAAGTACTGAAGGACAGATGGAGATTAAGTGGTTTTTGAATGGAAATGTTGCTCTTGTTCTTTATTCATATAGATTTTTCTCCGCTTGCTCCTTTTTATTACCAATGAGATCTCATCCGTCTCAGTTGCAGATTACCGCTCCCCTCCCTCACAATTTGCATATCCAGAATCGAATGAAAAGGGTTGAAGGAAGCTTCTCCACCAACACACCCCTCATCATTTATTCAGTAAACGAGTACTGATACGGCTGCTGATGCAGCCCCCTGCTGCGATGGATCCCCCGCCCTCGTCTCCCAGGACCGGTGCCGCGTTGAAGTAGCACACACCCGCGCGTATTGCCGAAGTTAATCATTCCAATATTGACGTGGTCGCTCTTAACGTTGTTTGAATCGAGTTAACCCGAGGTGGATCTTGGGAGGTTAGCCGGCTGATATTAAAGCTTTGGCCTTGGATCAACATATCTGGGAGGACTCGAGGATAACGGATTAACGCGCCGTCCCCTCATGCAGCAACGTGACCTGAGGCGGGAGGGTTTGGCGGAGGCAATAAGGCAGAAAATCTAATACAGTGGCGCGGGCTGTCCCACCGGGCTAAGCTGCCTCCAACAGCGGAGGGAGGCGCCTCCTCTTCTCTTCTTTTATTCCTCCTTCATATTCGGGCCAGCTCCTTCCCCTCTGTCTTCCTCCCTTCTTTTCCCCACGTCGGGCTTACACAGGTACATAAAGCGATAAGCTGCGAGTCCTGTCCGGCCGCGACTATAACCAAATTGCAGCAGTTTTATTGGGCAGCTTTGCCAGAGCAGTAACCCTTTTTTTTTCCGCCTGGAGGAATACAGAGTCAGCTATTTGTTTGGCCGCTTGCATACTCAACCCAACCGCCGCCGCGCTCCTCGGCCTGCTCCCACTGTCCACCCCCGCCTCTGTCCACCCGTTTGTTTTCCCAATACATCAACCCACCACCCACCCTGGAGGATACACAGCTCACGTACACACCTCTAGATGGTTTAGTGCCTGGCTGTGCCCAGACGGGTACGGTTCAATAGCTCTGAGCCAAAGAAATAACACTGTCGACTTTCTGCTGAATCGCAGGCGTTGACGTCCGCGCCCTGCACAGCCGTGGACGCCGACGGCCGCGCGGGATCGTCTGCGCCCATGAACAGGTAAAGGCCAACACCCTGGCACGAATTAATCATTCACTAATAGTAAAATTAGTAAAAGCCTGGAAAGAGTGCAAGGACAGGTC